CAACCGAAGGCCAGGGTTTTTATTGAAAACTTTAGAATTCAAATGCTTTACAACATGTTGTTTGTTGCTCCATTACTGTGTAAATTGCTTAAAGAACCATTCATACTGGTCATCCCAGTATCAACCAGTAAGCACCCAAGTACAGTATTTGTGTCTTTTTTTGAATGACTTTTCATGTGACATATTTCCTAAGAAAACTGCACAATTCTGGGTATCATTCTAATGTCTGAACATTTTGTAATACTTTATTCTTCACATAGATTTTCCTTGCCACACGAAGTTTCTCTCCATTCCACCAAATCCTCACCATATCATTTCCACCTTCCTCCAGTGATATGCAGGCATACTTCCTCTCACTCCTGCACTCTTCTGTTTAGCAAGCAACTTGAAAATACATGATTGGACCTAAAATTCATGCACTCCAACACTCATCCTGTTGTACTGCTTTCTCCCATTCTGTCTATCCAGGGCTTCTGCTTACAGTCCATGAAGTCAGGCCTCTATTCCATCATTCTGCTAATTTTCTAACCTGGGATGGGTAACCTGTAGTCCTGAGTAATATTTTGCGATCACCTATGTCCTCCTTTTACGACGACTGTTGAAACTGAATGTAAATATTCTCACCATTTGGAATTGGAAAACAGAAATAGTAATAAGCACTAAAATTGGCATATCACTGTCCAAACAATCTCCCTCCAAAATCTGCCCTTACCCACATATTTCAAAATTAATCTGAGTAATTATCATTTAACTCTCTTTGCATTTGTTATCACACATTTATAATGGACAGGAAACCTTAGTAACTCTTGAACTGCTGCTTAGAATTTGGCAGTCTGCACTGACCTGACCCCCAAATTGTCTTCCTCAACAAGTCTGAACATGGACTTTAAGCTCTGGTAATGTAGAACTTAAAAGTCGACACCACTGTTTTGAATTAGGAGTCAAAATATAAACCTAACACGTGAAATACAGTACTTAAATTGAGGATAGGATAGGACAGGTTAGGATAGGATAGGATAGGGACTAGTATAATGTCTCTATGAGGTCAAATCTGGTTAACAATTTCATGACTGTATTCTTGACCAAATCTAAATTTACTAAGATAATTCTTCTAATGCTATGGCAACAAAATGAAAGTACATGTTGAAGCAAATGAGTATATCCGTTCTGTTTAAAGAAAGAAACAACCCTGTGGTATTTCAATAACATATATGGTATTTATTGCTTAAATGACAGTTATTTTCCATATAATGTTCAGTAATGATATATTACAAAGAGTTCAATGTTATTATAAACGTTGACTCCTTTTTTGCTATTAAGTAAAACCTTGCTTGATTATCTGTATTTAAGTCTCTGTTCTACTGGGAAAAATATATTTGTTTGCACTTCCATCACTGCAGATTTTTCCCTCAAGAAAGGTGTAATCTATCTTGTATTGAGGGCATATTAAGAGTATGTGTGCAATGGATTTGATTTCCTCCATGCAGCATGATCGGGGGCAGCTTTCATCAGCAATATGGCAGAATCTGCCCTCAAATGATGCAGACAGGAAACCAAAGTGAGAGCTTTTCTGTAGTGCTTTGAGATCAGGATATGTAGACTGGATATGTAGAAAGCAGGGGTTTCTTTGTGCCCAGTAGTGGTGAAAATAATGGCAAATAAGTCAAATCTTTTGAAAGCTCTAGATTTTCAAAATCTTTGTTTTAGGGTCTTTTTAACTACAGTATGTCTATCTGCATAAAAATTACAAATTACAACCACAATCACTAAGATTTGTATTATAATTTTTCTCCAGTGAAAGTGAATGGAATTGGTTGGGATTAGTACTAAGGAGGCTGAGGAAAATATTATGTTTTTCCCATAATTAAGATGTAAGACCCATGCCCTTGCCTTAATTAAAGGCATATCAGATACAATATCCCTTAAAAAGTTAGTGTCTGTTATCATCAGTGGACCAAAATCAGTATCTGTGTTTGGATAGATTTGAGTCCATAAACTGAGCTATAACTTTAAGTCTCAAAAGCATGTAAAACAACTGGAATAAGATCCTTCTCCAAACAGTACTAAAATACCTGAGTATAGCTGCTTAGTTTCCTGAGATTTTGTGCTTTTACAAATTTACTCATGTTTTCCAGGAAGTTAGAAAACACCAATTCTGTGTGTGCTTAGTAGTTTGAAAACACCACCTTTGTCTTCTGGTAATTTACCAACAGACTGTCCTCCTTACAGTCAACATCTAGAGCCCATCATATGGTCTTCAGCCCAACAGATGCTAATGAAAGAATTTCAGCATTGTCTATATATGACAAAACTGCTATTCACTGACCCACCAAACTAGATGGGTGGTGCTCTTTTTTGATAATTTCTAATATAAAATATAAACATTAGACAAAGTTGATGTTAATATGTGGCCTTACTTAACCCCTTCCTGCTATGGGATGGGGAAGAAAGATGTCCCTGTTATTACATCTAATCTGAACAGGAACTTCTACTTACAGCTACTTAATCAGCAGGAATCACCAATATTCTATTGAGATAATTTTCAAATTTCTTCTAAGTCAAATCACAGAAAATGGTATCAAAGGCTGGTTTTAAATTTATAAAGCCTACATGTAATAGTCCATTAGACAGTATAGCATACTTTTCTGTAAGATATTTAATAGTTTAACAATGGCATACGAGGCATTTTCTCTTACTAAAAAAGTTTACTCATCAGCAAGAATTTTCTCTTATTTCACAGAAGCAGTTTGATATAGCTTGCGATGATATTTAATAACTCTTGATCCAATAGTTAATTGGATCAGCTATATTACTCTTCATTAAAATAGACGATGAGGGAGACAAAGATGCATAGGTATTTAGAGTATAGTTGCTTATTTATCTACCCAATAAACACCGGGTATACATTGAATTGTTATCTGAATTAAGAAATTAACATATTTTAAGAAAAAAAATACCACCAATACATGTTTATATACTAAGCTATAAACAATATATTTTTAAAATATTATGTATATTTCCATTTCCAGTTTTTTTCATGAAAAATAAAACAGTGCAGAAACATTCATTTTCCTGTTAGTTGTGAAATGTTCAGAAATGTTATACCTCTAGACATGATAAATACGGAGGCTAGTTTCACAGACAATTAGGCATCCTTGCTAAGCAGAGAGAAGACCACAGAAATGGCATGTTCTTTCCCCAAGGGGCTTCCAGTCTAAGGCCAGATCAGACACAACATTCTTCAGAGAGTGTTCGACCTTATCTGCCCTCTGTATTCTCTGGCGGAAGAAATCAGTGCTTGCCTCTGTTGTGGATTAGTCTTTCAACTATGCTGTTGATGCTAAAGTTCCTTCCATACAAAAGTTTCATTTGGAGCCAAATCAAAATAATCTCGCTCTTGTTCTTTGCACAGTTGTAGGAATACCTAAACAATACAATAAATCAATAGCTTCAAAGGCATTGCACATACAGTATATTAGATTTATAAACTGCTATTGGTCTATAATTTGTGGTTAGGTTTAAGTCCTGTCCCTCTTTGAGTATTAACTTAATATTAGCTTCTTCCCAAGACTGTGTCATCCCATCTCCTTGTAGCAGAGAATTCATTGTATTTTGAATTTTTATAAAATTATGTATAGATGGTATTTGTCACTGGAAAGATTATCAGAAATATATAAAGGGGTTTCAAATACATGTTGAAAATGTGAACAGCAAGAAGGGACTTGCTAATCATCTATGGTGGACATGTAATAAAGCTAAAAAAATTTGGACTCCAGTACACATATTAATCCAGAAGATTTTGAAGGTTAATATACAGTCAAAACCAGAGATTTTCCTTTTGGGACTGATGGATAAACAATTGGAAAAAGCTCATGGACTTCTGTTTTTATATATGATAACTGCAGCTAGACTTTTATATGCTCAAAGGTGGAAGGATTCAACATTACCTACGATGGAAGAATAGATGGTCAAGTTGATGGAGTTAGCCGAAATGGCAAAATTTACAGTTTTGCTTAGAGAAAATACACTAATTAACTTATTACAGCAGATATAGATTCATCTATATCTGCTGTATAAGAATTTGGAAGTTATTCGTTTTGTATTTTTTTTCTTCTCTACTTTTCACCAACTTTCTTGCTTTCTACTCTTCTTCTTGATTAGTTCTTGTTAGCTTTTCTTTTTGCTTTTTAAAACTTAATAAAGGTCTTAGAAAAAAAAGATTTATAAACTGCTAGATGCATTCTGAGTCCTATCTAGGCACATCTGAGAATATAAAATAATTGCACAATGGATTCTGATAGCAGCTTATGTCTGCATTTTGTTTGAGATGGAAACACAAAGGCAAATTAAATTTATTTATGCAAGGTTAAAGAATAAAAATGTAAATACATACAGGGAGAATAATCTGCTTTAAAAAAAAAAGTTCTCTTTTTTTCCAGCATGCAGTTTAATGTTTCTCTAACTCCCTTTCCCAGCACTACAAAAATAGCATCGTGATTAAGATCCTCAGCTTACAGAAGGTTGCTAGCTTAAAACCTGACAGAAAAAGTTTGGGTTTTTTTCTAATTATTGTTCTTTTTTGAGTAGCTAGTTTTTCCCTTGGCTTTTTTAAAAATTTGAAATAAATCTAGAGCGTTACCATTTTACAATTGTTCCAGTCACCTGAGATTGGAGAGTTTCACTTCCAGCTCTCAGATAGCTCAGATAACTTATAGGCCACCTTTTTATTCTAGTGTGTGAGAAAGTACTTTCTCACTATAAATCCCACTATGTTATTTGAATATTTAAGCCCATTACCTGTTCCAAAGTGTTCAGAGAGAAGCTGTACTCTTCAAGATTGAAACGCTGTTTAGCTGTGTAAATAAATAATTAAGTCAGTTATATCTGGTTGATTTACATCTTGCTTGGATAATAATTTGCTTTCTTTCCTCTTTGCACTGTTACTTTTTCTATCCAGCCTATATCTATCCATTCACTGGGGTAGCATCTACACATACTGTATTTTTTGAGAGCTAACTTAATTCCTTGTCCAAAGTATACTTTTGACATGGAAGACTGCTCTTTTTGAGAAACTCACAGGCAGCTGGGGGTGAGGTTTGCAAGGTATGACACTACGGCATGAGCCTGTTTGTTGTGCATGGCTAAAACTGAGATGGCCGACAAATTGCCCTTGATTTAGCTTCCAAGCAGTCTGCAGGTATTCACAAATCACTGTAAAGTTTATTCAAACATACCGTCTTCTAGCATGGCAAAGGCTTTAGAGAGAGGCAGTGCATCTTCCATTGGGATCTTATAGGCCAACAAAGTGGATATCCTAAGAGGAGGGGAAACCAATCATCATTTAGAAAACCAGTCCAAAATACTAACACAGAGCCACCAGATCTATCTGTACAGAAAAAGAAAGGTCTAGTTGGCAGGTATGGGAGCACAAAGAATAAATCCACAGCAATTCTCTGCGGGCACAGCAGTGGCTGTTTATTTGGGAAAGAATCTGCATGCAAGATTCCTTATCTGGCCAGGAAAACACACATTACAGCCCTTTGCATCCAGGTATACGAATTTTCCACAACAGTAAAACTTCCTGCTTAATGTGATGTTGAAGGAAAGGAAGGAGCAAATAGCATTTACACTTCTACCTACTTAAAAAGCCCCAGCTATAGAGCAATTGATGGTAATTTCAGAAAAGAGCTTCATGCAAGAGCCCTATCCAGCTTGGAAAATGCATACTAAAGCCAGATAGATCAGACTGTAGATCAGACTTAAATGAAGGTGGAGTGAACAGAGACAGCAGATGAAATGTATTCTTCATCTGGTTAATTCAGCACATCCCATAAGCAAATAAATGTTTAAGAAATTCAGTATCAAGCAAGACTATGGAATGTACTAATTAAAACATTTTTAAAAAAATCTGTCAAGTTGCAGAGATATGTCGCAGTTACCTTTCTTGACGAGCTGCTTGTGGGAACATCTTTAGAATCTGACTATTCACGAGATCTCCTTGTTCTACTCCCTTTACTTTTATTTGTAGCAAATAATTTTTCCCAAATTTGCTTTTCAAATACTGCATTGAACCAAGGCACCTGTAGAAGAAAGGATTACCATATAGCATACAGTCTCAAGGTGTTATTAATTCAAACACAGGTAATCCTCGCTTAACAATGGTAATTGGGACCAAAATTTCCATTCACTAAGTGATGCAGTCATAAAGCAAGATGTCACATTGCTTAGTGACGGCAATCTCGGTGCTCCCTGTTGCTGTAGTTAAGTGAGAATCGAGGGTCATTCAGCAAGGATCTCTTTGCAACTTCCTGCTAGCTTCTAACAAGCAAAGTCAATGGGGAAGCTGACAGGAAGTCACAAGTCCCAAGCAGCTCGCAAGCAGGCCAACAGGCAGATAAGTAGCTGCTGCCAGGCATGGGAGGGTGATGGTGGGATAGCTGTGAATTCTAGTTTGAAATAGTTTATTTCCACTGGTATTTCATGCAGCCATCTTTCCCCATGCATTCAGAGAATGCCTGTATGAAGTAATCTGATCCTGTGTGCTACCCCGATTCCCATCAATCATGAGTTTTGCTCATACAGGAAGTGCTTTTACTTAGATAAATATCCTCCATGTGACTGTATACCTTGGCCCAGTGTGGAAGGTCTTTGCACATGTGGAAGATCTTTGCACATGAAAAACCATACATCCCTAGAGCATCTGCTATCTGTATCAAACACACGAAGGACGTCTGTTACAATTGCCCATATACGTTTTTTTCTCTATGTGATGGTATCATCTGAACTCCCATGTAATTCATACATGTCAGCATTTGTCTTTGAGTCCTCACAATCAACTTAGAAAATTGCTACATAAGCAATTACTAGTAAAACATATTGAAATCATCAACTGAAGAAAACAAGCTTCTTTGAATTAGAAAATAGAAGTGAAACAAGAAAAATCCTTTGCTTCATCCACTTTGCTTCATCCACACATTCTCTATCTGTGGTATCCTATGACATAGATGAAATATTTAAGGAAGCCCACCTGAGCTGTCCAGAAACCATGATAGCCACTCGGTCGCACACTGCCTCAGCTTCCTCCATGTGGTGAGTTGTCAAAATGGCTCCTTCATCCCTGTCTTGCAGCATAGAGCGAATTGCTTTCCTGTGGACAACACACGACTGAGGAAGATGAAGCAACCCTGGAGCGTCCCCAATGCCCTGTTCCTGCCATTCTGTTCTGATCCTGCTTAACTGATGGACACAATCTTCCATGCCAGAAGAAAAAATACCTCCACCTAGTCCCAAATTAATTCACGTGAAGGAGTTGTAAAGAGGGAGAATAGAGGAAAGGAGAACTAATGTACGAACAAGAAGCCTACAGCTTTTTCTCCTTAGTCCCCCCCCCACATGGAAAAAATGGCAAAAGTCTCCCTACAGGGATAATCAAGAGGGTTGGGAAAGCTTTCTTTTTTAACCTTTGGGATCATGAGGAGAAGATGGAAGAGAATCTGGCATTTAGGAGGAAACCAGTTTTCCTCAGCATGAGTCAGATTTATCATCTGCACAGATAGGAACTTAATCAACAACATTTTCAACTGCACTGAGATACTTCTAGAGGTATGAATGGGAAGCATTTCCTCTTGCAGTGCTGTCAGACACTTTCTCTGTATTCAGAGGTAAGAAGTAATGCTTAGTCATTGGTTTTAGAGATTATTTGTAGAAAGGGGATCCCCCCCCCCCCGGCCAAATAAAAAAAAAGCAATAGGGAAAAAATGGGGGGAAGGGGGTTTGTCTTTTTTTTTATTAACCATT